AAGTATCGCTCATTAAGAAATAGGGTTACGCGCGATGTTAGGGTTGCTAAATGCAAGTTCTACATCGATCTTTTTGACGAAGTAAAAGACTGCAAGTCATACTGGAAGTTGGTCTAAAAAGCTGCTTACAGTTCTGTGCCGCGCAGCCTATACTTGGAATTAGGTTATCAGACGGGGAAATCGAAACATCTGATTACAAGATAGCGAAGATCCTTAATGAGCACTTCTTTACTGTTGGTGAAAAGTTGGCAAACGACCTTCCTGTTTGTAGTCAGGAGAGTAGTAATATTTACTTTTACCGTGTTACTCTCTGCATAACGAATATTTCCATATCGTATGATAATGTTGCTAATAACATTAAAAAGATGAAAACAAACAAGCCAGCGGACCGGATAATGTTTCCCCAAAACTGCTTAAACTGNAAAATATTGCTGCACACGGCTGCCGTTTTGACATTCTTGCGATTACTGAAACTCACTTGGATCGGAAAATTTCCAATCGACAACTCGAGATTGATAACTACAAGATTATCCGAAGGGACAGAGACGCTAACACCATCGGCGGTGGATGTTTATTCTACATCGCCAATCATATATGCTCAACAAGGCTAAGCTCCTTGGAATCGAAGGACACTGAGGCTATATGGCTTAAAATTCTGGTAAACTCGTCCGTTTTCATCGCAGGAACTGTTTATAGACCACCTACAGATTCTCTATTCTTTGATAGATTTCAGGTCATACTCGAGAAACTCTGGATTAAACGCCGCAATGTAGATATTTAACACTCTTCTTAAAGCAAAACAATCCAAAAATCGAGAACTGTGGGCTAAGTATCGATCATTAAGAAATAGGGTTACGCGCGATGCTAGAGTTGCTAAATGCAAGTTCTACATCGATCTTTTTGACGTACTAAAAGATTGCAAGTCATACTGGAAGTTGGTATAAGAAGCTGCTTACAGCTCTGTGCCGCGCAGTCTATACTTGGAATGAGGTCATCAGATGAGGAAATCGAAACATCTGATTACAAGATAGCGAAGATCCTTAATGAGCACTTCTCTACTGTTGGTGAAAAGTTGGCAAACGACCTTCCTATTTGTCGTCAGGAGAGTAGTAATATTTACTTTTACCGTGTTACTCTCTGCATAAAGAATATTTCCATATCGTATGATAGAAAAGTAAAAATAAACGCCATTCTAGACGACGCATTGAACGAAACTTTCCTAAATGAAGGGTTGCTGGGGTACTAGGACTGCAAGAGCCTTTCGAAAAAGTTCAAGTTCATGTTCTCAACGACACCGTCGAAACGTTTCAGTCCATGCCATTAAAAATTGAAATCGAAAGTGTAGATGGCAGGTTGTCAAAGGAAATCGGGGAAAAAACATATCCTCAGAAAGTCACAGGTAGTTACAGAGCTGTGAACTGGAACAAACATCAGGAGAAATGGCCTCACCTGGCCCAGTGCAGATTTTCCAAGCCGGCAAATTACGGACTTGTCGATCTTTTGATTGGCATTGATAACGCTGAACTCCATTATTTACATTTTGATCTCCGAGGAAAACCTGGTGGACCTATCGCCCGCCTCAGACCACTTGGGTGGAGTTGTATAGGTGCGTCTGACGAAAGCGAAGCCGCGAGGAAATGATCCCACGTTATTCCTTCCTTGTTCACTAGAGAGCCAATTTGGAGCGAGAGAAAAGAGTCCTGTTGTGATGTTGACAACAGCTTAAAGAGATTCTGGGAAATTGAAAAGTCTGGCACAGACCGCGATGACCGACTCGTACTCACCGAAGAAGAAAGACTAGCTTTAAGCAAAGTGAAAGATTCCCTAAAGTACAAAAATGGAAGGTATTGTGTAGCCGTTCCTTGGAAAGAAAACAATCCGGATCTCCCTGACACTAAAACTATGGCACTGTCTCGACTACGAAACACCGAAAGAAATTTGAAGAAGAACAGCCGTGTCGCCGAAGAATATCAAGCAAACATCCAGGCCTATGTTGGCAAAGGATAATTACGAAAGGTTCCCTCAAACGAGCAGCTGCCAGCTTACGCATGGACAACAAAAGTGCGAGTCGTATTGACTGTACCGCTAAATGTAACGGTACTTCCTTAAATGACATGATTCATCCTGGGCCGAAATTACTGCAAGATCTTTTCAAAGTCCTTGTCCGTTTCCGTTGAAACCCTGTTGGCATCGCCTGCGACATCAAGGAAATTTATCTCCAGATAGAGATTGAGGAGCAAGACCGATCCCACTTCCGACTGTTATGGAGAGATCTTGACCCTAACCGAGAGCCAGATGTATTCGAGTTTAACCGTGCAGTTTTTGGGAAGAATTCAGCCCCTATGGAGTCGCAATTCGTCTCGCAGGAAAACGCTCGAAGAAACCAAGACCGTTATCCCCTTGCCGCTGAGACCGTCCTTAAGTCAACTTATATGAACGATTCTATTGACAGTGTTGAAAACGATGATGAAGGAGTGGAGCTATACCGTCAATGAAAGGCATTATGGGGAGTCGCTGGCATGCAAGCCAGGAAATGGATCTCTCATTCACTGAAAGTTATTGAGGCGATTCCATCACAAGAACGCGCCACAGAGATCGTGATTAACAATGGTCCAGACCCGAGAACGAAGACTGGGAATTTCCTGGAAAAGTACTGAAGACGTGTTTACCGTTACCGCTTCTCCAGTTTCCCCGGAATTGCGGACAACAAAACGAAACGTCCTGCGTAAAGTAGCAACGATTTTTGACCAACTGGGATTCGTATGCCCGTATGTTATTAGAGACCTTAAGATTGAGGTTTGGCCATCTAACCGCAAACGGCAAACCGCGGTTTGCCATTAGCGATTTCGCGTTAGCCGTCTGCCCATATTTGGGACTTAAGATTCGCGGGTGGTATGGCTCCTGCCCGAAGGTGATATGTGGATCATTGTGTTTGTTAGATTTTATCGATTACTGAATGAGAGAGCAGAACACTAAATCTTTGATCCTCTTTAAATTGAGCAAGACTACATAGATCTGCTAGACATTATGCAGCTGGACGAGAGTAGTTCTGAAGGTTCGTTGTCGAGCAATAAAGATCTCGATTTCTTATTTCTTGAAGCCGCTTTGTATGCTTGGCCATCTGAACAAAGCCACGGCTAAGGAAAGAAAATAAGCATTCATGTATTCACATATCATCGGAAATTGGCTTTTGTTTACCCTCAAGATAATAAGACCGGCAAAACAGTTTTGCTGCAAAAAACCTTGCGGTAAATCACTTACCTCTAGAGCGTGGTCCTGCCGTACAAACGTGAACCTGAAACTGCAAACCTGACGGCAAGGCATTGGTCACGTGACTTTTTGACGTTAGCGGTTCGCGGGAAATGCCTAAAAACCTCTATCTCAAGGTTCTACTTCAGGAATTGTGGATGCGAGGCTACGACTGGGACGACGAAGTTCAAGATGAAGTAGCCCAAACAACTCTGGACTTGGTTCGAGCAATTGAAAAGTCTGCACGAGGTGACGATTCCTCGGTGTCTGCGAAGTCCAGAGCCTGTTAAGTCGAAGCACATTGGGACTTTTGTCGATGCCTCTTAACAAGCTTATGGTGCAGCAGTTTATATCCCCTGTGGATACGATAACGATACTGTAACCAGTCGCCTGATAGCAGCAAAGAGCAAAGTGGCACCACTGAAACCGATGACAGTACCCAGACTGGAACTCGTGGGTGTGATTTTAGGCCTACCCTTAACACAGTCGCTGCTGACAGCCTTAGAAGTACTAATGCAAAGCGTGACGTTTTACTCTGACAGTACAGATGTTCTATGGTGGATTCGAGGACGCGGCAAGGACTTCCGACCGTTCGTAGCCAACCGAATTGGTGAAATACAGATGTTCACTGAGCCGTCAAAGAGGCAGCATGTCTCAT